AGAGACAAAATGCTTTACTGTCCCTCATCGAGGTAGATAAGCAAGCAGGGAAACCTAAGAACTGGCTGTCCGGAGGGGTCCCTTTACACACAGACCTCAGATAGCCCCAGGCAGTAAGTCCTGACCTGGTGTCCTGCCGGAACTGGTTCCGGACAGCTTTAAATGCGATTCAGAGTCCACTCAGTGTGGATGCGCTATTTCGAAATAGCAAAATGCTATTTCAAAATGCATTTTGTGTGTAAATGCATTATTTCGAAATAAGATATTTCAAAATAACACTGTAGTGTAGACATACCCTCAGTCTCTCCTCATGGGTCATGTGCTCCAGCCCCCTAATCATTTTGGTTGCCCTCCTCTGGACCCTCTCCAATGCATCCACATCCTTTCTATAGTGGGGGGGGCCCAGAACCGGACACAACAGATGTGGCCTCACCAGAGCGGAATAAAGGGGAATAATCACTTCTCTGGATCTGCTGGCAATGCTCCTCCTAATGAATCCTAATATGCCATTAGACTTCTTGGCTACAAGGGAACACCGTTGACTCATATCCAGCTTCTCATCCACTGTAATCCCCAGGTCATTTTCTGCAGAACTGCTACTTAGCCATTCAGTCCCCAGCCTGTAACAATGCTTGGGATTCTTCCTTATCAAGTGCAGGACTCTGCACTTACCCTTGTTGAACCTCATCAGATTTCTTTTGGCCCAATGCTCTCATCTGTCTAGGTCACTCTGGACCCTATCCCTGCCCTCCAGCGTATTTACCTCTTTCCCCCTAGGTTAGTGTCATCTGTGAACTTGCTGAGGGTGCAATCCATCCCCTCATCCAGGTCATTAATAAAGATGTTGAACAAAACCAGCCCTAGAACCGATCCTTGGGGCACTCCGCTAGAAACTGCCTGGCAAACTGACATCGAGCCACTGATCACTACCCATTGGGCCCTACAGTCTAGCCAGCCTTCTATCCACTTTACAGTCCATTTATCCAAACCATATTCCCTTAACTTACTGGAAAGAATACTGTGGGAGACCGTATCGAAAGCTTTGCTCAAGTCAAGGTATATCACATCCACTGACTTTCCCATGTCCACAGAGCCAGTTACCTCATCATAGAAGCTAATCAGATTGTTCAGGCACAACTTGCCCTTTGTGACTATTCCTGATCACTTTCCCCTCTTCCAAGTGCTTCAAAATGGATTCCTTGATGATCCCCTCCATGATTTTTCCAGGGACTGAGGTAAGGCTGATTGGTCTGTAGTTCCCTGGATTATCCTTCTTCCCTTTTTTAAAAATAGGCACTACATTTGCCCTTCTCCAATCATCCGGGATCTCTCCTGATCTCCACGACTTTTCAAAGATAATGGCCAAAGGCTCCACAATGACATTTGCCAACTCCCTCAGCACCCTCGGATGCATTAAATCTGGGCCCATGGATTTGTGTATGTTTAGCTTTTCTAAATAGTTTTTAACTTGTTCTTTCCCCACCAAGGGCTGTCCACCTCCATCCCCTGCTGCGTTGCCTTGTGTATTTGTCTGGGAGCTGACCTTGTCCGTGAAGACAGCAGCAAAGAAAGCATTCAATACTTCAGTTTTTCCCACATCATCTGTCACTAGGCTACCTCCCCTCATCCCCACGCCCTCTCTGATCACCCCCTTATTGCTTACATGCCTGTAGAAAACTTTCTTGTTATCCTTCACATCTCTTGCTAGCTACAATTCCAATTGTGCTTTCGCCTTCCTGATAACTCCCCTGCATTCTCGAGCAATATATTTATACTCCTCCCTTACTTCTTGTAAGCTTCCTTTTTGTGTTTAATCACCATGGATTTCTCCGGCAAGCCAATCTGGTCGCTTACCATATTTACTTTTCTTGCTGCGTATTGGGATGGTTTCTTCCTGTGTCTTTAATAAGTCTTCTATAAAATACTGCCAGTTCTCCTGGACTCCTCTCCCCTTCGTGTAAGCATCCCAGGGAATCCAGCCCATCAGTTCTCTGAGGGAGTCAAAGTCTGCTTTTCTGAAGTCCAGGGTGTGTATTTTGCTATTCTCCTTTCTTCCTTTGGTCAGGATCCTGAAATCTACCATCTCATGATCACTGCTTCCCAGATTGTCACCCACCTCTACTTCCCCTACAAGTTCACAGGATAGAGTCCTGTACTAGAGTACCAGCAAGACACACAGCAGTTTGAATTTGGTTCAGTGGCATAGGACTTGGCTTTATCAGCATTATGGAAATTACACAGCCTATACACCGACTTCACTATACACATACAACTTGGCTCAGAGACAGATCAAGATGCCCCTGAAATTATGGCAGCCACTTACATTTTCAGAGGTACTGCTAGCCTCTCAGTAACACACACTGGCAGAATCGTGCACTGGATCGGGACCTGGAACTATCTAGATTTCAAGGCCAGTCCTGCCATGGACAAGTCACTGAAGTTCCCTGTAGAGCAGTGGTTCCCAACCTTTTCCAGATGGGGACCCATTTTGACAATTCAGGAAGACTTGGTGACCCCAGGCAATTCAAAAAACAGGGGGAAGAGAGGGGCAGAGCCACCTGGAGAGATACCTGGTGACCCTTTTGAAATATATGGCTCGCGACTCATAGGTTGAGAAACCCTGCTGTAGAGAAATATAAAAGTAGGGATATTAATAATTATACTTCCTCTCTCTGACCCTCTGGTCTTGCCTATTTATGCTGTAAGCTCCTCAGAGCACTGAGTGTGTTCTCTTATTCAACGTACATACATTACAGCTCATTGGGACCCTGACCTCAGCTGAGGTCTCTATTATCACCACTACCACATTAGGTGGCCCAAGCTCAGGTCCGAATGGGGGAAATAAAGTAGATAAACATCCCAAGACAAGGAAGCTGCAACTGATAGAAGCCATTGTAATGAAGATAAAGATGTAGGTTCTGCTTTCCATCTTGGTGTTAATTTACTGGCATATCAGTACAGGCAGTCCCCGGGTTACGTACAAGATAGGGACTGTAGGTTTGTTCTTAAGTTGAATTTGTATGTAAGTCGGAACTGGTACATATTGTAGGGGAAACTCTAGCCAAACATTTCTCCAGAGCTCAGTTTTATTCTCCCACACCTCACTTCCCTCAGTCCTTTATTCTCAAGCTGAGGTGTCTGCTGAGAAAAGCCGCTCCGCGTCTCCCTGGTCTGCTGGGGGTGGGCGCTAGCTTCGCGTCTCCCTGGTCTACTGGGGGGGGGAAGCAGCTAGTGTGGGGTTGCCTCACCCCGTTTGTAAGTAGGGATCCGATGTAAGTCGGATCCATGTAACCCAGGGACTGCCTGTAGTTACAACTGTGTGTCAACCATCCTTGCTGGGATGCATACTTTCCCAATACCAGCCAACAGGAAAAGGAGGCAAAAAATAATAGGGAAATCGGTTCCATTCTTGAAGAAAGAAGCCATATAATCACATTGACAGCGACAGCACAGTAAGAGGAGAAAGCTATTTTGCCTTCCCTGCTGAGCCAAACCCTTTGCACTTCAGAAATGCTGCTGATTAGCAGAAACTGGCAAATAAAACTACGTGGAACAAATAAGGTTACTGGTCAGGCTAATGCTCTAGTTAGTGTGAGATGTTTTGTTTCTACAGAGCCCAAAATTTGCCCACTTTAAAATGTTACGCCCGTTTTAGAGAACTGAAAGATGAAAGACAAGAGTTATAAAAGTCCTACCCCATAGTACTAAAAATAAAAAATCCATTGAAACACACAAGTGGAAGTGTTTGTCCTTCGTTCACTATAAATTACAGCCCTTTTAAAGAAAACAATCAAGTGTCAAGCAAATCTCAGCTCCAGGAAACTGTCAGAAATTGCATGACATTTTGAAGAGACGGCAATGCCATTCAAATCTAAAAATGTTCTGTTGATGCAGAGACAGCTATGCCATTTGGTACAGGGATAAAATCAGTTCTCAGGAAACGAAAAATCCTATCCTGAATGGGCACTGCCTGCAAATGCTGTAAGTAATAGCAGGGCTTATATTTAAGTTTGTTTTTTAAGGCCATACACACTGCTGCACTTCCTATGCATTAAAACAACAGGATAATGCGATGCGATCTGAAAGCTCTATGATGACGCAAGTGGAGAAAAGAAGGCTATTTCAGGATCTGCAATAGATGGAGGGTCACCCAGTTTCTGTTTCTACCAGGTGAATACGCCAACCAATTATGTGTGTTTTACTGCACTGAACTGTCCATTTTCCTGTTCTATAAAACTTAGCTGCTGTCAGTCTTCATGTACAGTAACCAAGTGCACTTAAAAAAAACGTCCTTTTTCAGTCAAAATTTCAATGAAAAAGCTAATGCGCAAGTCATTTTTATGCCCTAAGAACTATACCGATTACACTGAAATTGTAAATTGCAATTTTTTTCAGCCAGCTGTAATTAAGAGCCTTGTTCAGGGGCAGACAAGAGGAATGGAGAAGCTTAAAGAAAGTTTCCCACTTCTTTCTGCCCGTGGGTAGTCTGCCTGCCATTGCCAGGCAAAATGCATGCTGTGGCCCCTTACAGGACACTCTGACCCACACATACTCTATCTGGCAGCACTGTCTGGAGCCCTGTGCAGATACAGTATCTTACCTACCGATAGAAAGCAGGTACCCGCAGAGTTCTAGGGCTCTAGCAACAACACGAGACCAGCAGGGCCAAGGGCA